CAGTCTCACCTGTGTAATACACATCCAACGTGCCAGACAAGGATGGGAATACCTATAACATGCTGGTTGCCTAAAATCCAAGCGGGCACGCGATTTCGACGCTCGATACCGCTCCAGTTACGTTAGTTAGTATATAGTTCAATGTTTTTAATACTACAAAATGCCAAAAGATTTCAGCTGTCAGTTAACTGACAGTTGTCTTTGACGATGCAGATGCTCGCTATTGGCGAAATTTTGCTGGTACACGAAATTTTCGATTTCAATCAGGAGAGCAGACTGTTTAAGGAAATAGCGAGCAAATATGAGGAGCTGGAGTTTAGCGTAACGTTATTGTCTTTGTCGATGCAGATGCTCTCTATTGGCGAAATTGTGTTGGCACACGAAAGTTTCGATTTGTATCAGGAGAGCAGACTGTTGGAGGTAGAGAGCAAATATGAGGGGCGGGATTTTAGCGTTACGTTATTGGCTCTTAAAATTGGACGTTTTTTTCATTGACCCGCTGACTTCGAGGAGGGATGAAGAATATGTTTATTAGGTTTAGAACCGTTCATTTAGTTTAAAGCAAAGTTTTATCCATATATTTTAATTAAAATGGTTTTAAATTAAATCGGAAAATTATGAGATTGTCGGACACATTAGATTATCATATGAAAACTTATATAATAAAATCCAAGTCAATTTTAAAATATCTGCAGAGTAGTTGACCGGAGGGCATTTTCTTCGGGTTGCGTTAGTCTAAAAATAGCGTCTACCTAAGATCGGCTAACAATAAACCAGAAATCCTCAACTCCAGCAAAAGGGTCGCTTTGGGTTCTTTGCGAAACGAATCAAGAAGTCGCATACAAGACGTTGCATGAGCAGTTTCTCTGCAACGGGCGACATTTCATATTATTTAAACACTAGACAATTCATTTAGGTTTCAATTAGCCATCAAGTACAGTATACAAACGTATAATTGTGGTCAACGTAAAATCGTGTAAACTACTACCTAAATTCAAGTGTCAACCAGTGCAGCGAAACAACCAATTAATAACCTTGGTAAAATTGCTGGGGGTGTGTACGATGCAGTGGATAGTGTGTATTATCAGGTGAGTGTATCCTGGTAGAACGAAAGGGTGCGACGGTTGACAAAAGTTAAAACGTTCCTCTACTCAAGTAGTACAAGTTCCGCTAGCCAACTAGAGATCAAGTTCAAACCCGAACCCCTGATTCAACGTAGCAACCAATGTAACCAATCAAAGTTGTATACCTAAAGGGTGCTTTGAAATCTTGCATATTGAATTTCAAAGTATATTTAATGTTAAGTTAAAGTTTCTACATTATTTCTACAATAGGGTGTTTTCACTTTTTTTTGATGTTGATATATAGAAAGTAGTTATGGCGAACATTACACTGATATAATTTTTTTGCAAAAAAGTATCCATAATAATTTTAAAGCGAATTCAAATTCAAATCAGATATTTCCCGCCAAAAACGCCGAATCCGTATCGTCGGTTGCCTATCCCGATTGTGAGGTAGCAGGTCATATCAACAAAGTGTCTCGTGTTTATTTTGTTGTTTCCGCAGCTTTGTTTTATTATTCAAGCTCTTGTGATTGTCATTATTTCATTGATTATTATTATTATCGTGCATAATGGAAAATAGTGACCTTTATGGATCACAAAAGTGGTGTTTTGTGTCAGGGCGCAAGAATACCTCAATAAGTGCTCCAAACAAACTCTTTCTAACCGTTCCTCATGATTATGCACGTAAAGTTTTATAGTTCAAAGCTGCTAGACGTGATGTTCCTAAATCAAAATCAATGTTTTTTTGTTGCGCGGATCATTTTAATGAAAGTACGCACAAAAAACTAATGATGAGGCAGACAGAATATGCCTTCGGTCGTACTCTGTGTTGTGGGCAAATTCTATCTTGTACAGTGCACCATATTGTTCTCGTGATGCCCAAAATACAAATTTAAGAGTTTAATCAGAGTTTAATTTACTTTTAAAGTAGCCATGTGCATAGGTTAGGTTAAGTTGAATAAGTGAAATTCCATATATTATTTACCTAATTTAAACCAATACAGGCAGATTAGTTTATTAAGTACAAACATTACAAATTTAAACAACAAGTCTCTGACACAAAACCCCGCAGAATTCGAGGTTATGAGAACAGGTTGACATTTCGTCAACAAATTTTGTTGAATTTACCGTTTCTCCTTGTCCATCTTATTGTCAGTCTGTATAATTCCATGGTTACCGGAGTTTTAAATAATTACGAAGCAACAGGTATTTGCGCAATGTTAATTAGG